GTCACCAAGTACACCAGCTCCAAGTAAACGGCTCAAAGTAAACGGCTGTTTACCGCCAACTCCAACGGCCCTTTTCAGGGCCACACACTTCAACCTGAGAGCTGGTTCTATTCCCAACGTCTACTCCGTTTAAAACTGATCAGTTGAATTCTATTATCTGTATTATGTATACTTCATACATAAACTATAGTGTATATGTATTGTCCTACATTATTTAAATATGTAAATTTCAATATATAAATATTTGACTATAAATTTCCATGTGGCAAAACAAGCCCAACTTCAATAATAGTTCAACAAAAACAGTTGAGAGACATAAACCACCTAAACTACTTTAAATTAAAATTGGGGGATCTTGAAGTAAGTTCACAAAGATTATTAAAGAATATCCTAATTTAAGATTAGTGTTTAGTAAAGTGGATTGGCAATAATGTAGGGCTGCAGCTCTTCCCATAAGTGTTTAGTCATTTATAAAATGTTGATATTAACATATCTCCATTTAAGAAAAACCTGAGAATACCTCAGATGTTTATGTTAAATGTTTGAGCATTTTTATTCAGGTCCTGTAACAATACTGTTTAAAACGCTGTGTCCGAGGGCACCAAGGCCGTCACCAAGTACACCAGCTCCAAGTAAACGGCTCAAAGTAAACGGCCGTTTACCGCCAACTCCAACGGCCCTTTTCAGGGCCACACACTTCAACCTGAGAGCTGGTTCTATTCCCAACGTCTACTCAGTTTAAAACTGACAATTTGAATTGTATTATCTGTATTATGGATACTTCATACATAAATGATAGTGTATGTATTGACCAACATTGTATAAATATATACATTTTAATATATAAATAGATTTAACTATACATTTCCATGTGGCAAAACAAGCCCAACCCAACTTCAATAATAGTTCAACAGTTGAGAGACATAAACCACCTAAACTACTTTAAATTTAAATTTGGGGAACTAGAAGTAAATGCATAAAGGCGATTAAAAAATATCTTACTTTAGAATTAGTGTTTGGCAATAATTTAGACTGCTGCTCTTCCCATAAAAGTGTCCAGTCATCTATAAAATGTTATTCGCATATCTTAATTTAAGAAAAACTTGAGAATACCTCAGATTTTTGTCAAATGTTTGAAGCATTTCTATTCAGACTATGTAACAATACTGTGTTTAAAGGCCGTCACCAAGTACACCAGCTCCAGGTAAACGGCTGTTTGCTCCAACTCCAAAGGGCCTTTTCAGGGCCAAACAATTCAAACTAAGAGTTGATGCTATTCCTGAATTATATCCAGTTTTAAACTGACCACTTGAAATTTAATATCTACTTTATGTATGATGTGTCTGTCTATATAAATATATATATATTGCGCCACATTGTATGAATTAAATATTTACCATGTTGCAAAACAAGCCCAACTTTGATTAAAAGTAAGTAGGAACATAAAACACCTAAACTACACTTAAATTTAAGTTGGGGATGAGGAAGTAAATGCACTAAGACGATTAGTATTTAGTAAAGTGGTTTAGCTATAATTTACACTGCAGCTCTTCTCATAAGTGTTTAGTCATTTATCAAATGTTGATATTCTTAATTTAGGAAAAACCTGAGAATACCTCAGATGTTTATGTTAAATGTTTAAAGCATTTCTATTCAGACTATGTAACAATACTGTGTTTAAAGGCCGTCACCAAGTACACCAGCTCCAAGTAAACTGCTGTTTACCCCCAACTCCAACGGCCCTTTTCAGGGCCACACACTTCCAACCTGAGAGCTGATTCTGTTCCTAATGTCAACTCGCTGACCAGTAACAATTTGTTTTCTGTATTATGCATGTGCATAATTATAATATGTATTGCCCAACATTGTAAAAATATATTAATTCTAAATATAATATTAAATTATCTAAATTTCCATGTCGCGAGACCAGCCTAACTTCAATAATAAATAAAAATGGAGGGACATAAACCACCTACTTTGAATTTAAATTGGGGGAACTAGAAGTAGAGATGATTACAAAATATACTGTGTGTATCTATATATTGCCCAACATTGTATAAATATATTAAGTTTTAATATATTTAACTATAAATTTTCATGTGGCAAAACAAGCCCAACTTCAATAATAAATAGTTAAATAAAAACAACCTAAACTACTTTATATTTAAATTTGGGGAACTACGAGTAAATGCACAAAGACGATTAAAAAATATCCTACTTTAGAATTGGTGTTTAAAGTGGTTTGGCAATAATTTAGACTGCAGCTCTTCCCATAAGTGCTTAGTCATTTGTAAAATGTTGATACAGGGAGATCCAGACCGCCGTGCGCGATTATGTTAAATGTTTGAAGCATATCTATTCAGACTACGGTATGTAACAATACTGTGTTTAAAGGCCGTCACCAAGTACACCATCTCCAAGTAACCGGCTCTTTACCACCAACTCCAAAGGCCCCTTTTCAGGGCCAAACAATTCAAACTGAGAGCTGATGCTATTCCTAATGTCTACTCAATTTAAAACTGACCATTTGAATTTTATGATCTGTTTTACGTACTATGTATGTATGTATGTATGTATGTATGTATGTATGTATGTATGTAT